CTAGTCTATAGTCAGTCTAGTCTAGTCTATAGTCTAGTCTATAGTCTAGTCTATAGTCTAGTCTATAGTCTAGTCTATAGTCTAGTCTATAGTCTAGTCTATAGTCTAGTCTATAGTCTAGTCTATAGTCTAGTCTATAGTCTAGTCTATAGTCTAGTCTATAGTCTAGTCTATAGTCTAGTCTATAGTCTAGTCTATAGTCTAGTCTATAGTCTAGTCTATAGTCTAGTCTATAGTCTAGTCTATAGTCTAGTCTATAGTCTAGTCTATAGTCTAGTCTATAGTCTAGTCTATAGTCTAGTCTATAGTCTAGTCTATAGTCTAGTCTATAGTCTAGTCTATAGTCTAGTCTATAGTCTAGTCTATAGTCTAGTCTATAGTCTAGTCTATAGTCTAGTCTATAGTCTAGTCTATAGTCTAGTCTATAGTCTAGTCTATAGTCTAGTCTATAGTCTAGTCTATAGTCTAGTCTATAGTCTAGTCTAGTCTAGTCTATAGTCTAGTCTATAGTCTAGTCTATAGTCTAGTCTATAGTCTAGTCTATAGTCTAGTCTATAGTCTAGTCTATAGTCTAGTCTATAGTCTAGTCTATAGTCTAGTCTATAGTCTAGTCTATAGTCTAGTCTATAGTCTAGTCTATAGTCTAGTCTATAGTCTAGTCTATAGTCTAGTCTATAGTCTAGTCTATAGTCTAGTCTATAGTCTAGTCTATAGTCTAGTCTATAGTCTAGTCTATAGTCTAGTCTATAGTCTAGTCTATAGTAGTCTATAGTCTAGTCTATAGTCTAGTCTATAGTCTAGTCTATAGTCTAGTCTATAGTCTAGTCTATAGTCTAGTCTATAGTCTAGTCTATAGTCTAGTCTATAGTCTAGTCTATAGCCTAGTCTATAGTCTAGTCTATAGTCTAGCCTAGTCTATAGTCTGTCTATAGTCTATTCTATAGTCTAGTCTATAGTCTAGTCTATAGTCTAGTCTATAGTCTAGTCTATAGTCTAGTCTATAGTCTAGTCTATAGTCTGTCTATAGTCTAGTCTATAGTCTAGTCCTAAGTCTAGTCTATAGTCTAGTCTATAGTCTAGTCTATAGTCTAGTCTATAGTCTAGTCTATAGTCTAGTCTATAGTCTAGTCTATAGTCTAGTCTATAGTCTAGTCTATAGTCTAGTCTATAGTCAGTCTATATCTAGTCTATAGTCTAGTCTATAGTCTAGTCTATAGTCTAGTCTATAGTACTAGTCCTATAGTCTAGTCTATAGTCTAGTCTATAGTCTAGTCTATAGTCTAGTCTATAGTCTAGTCTATAGTCTAGTCTATAGTCTAGTCTATAGTCTAGTCTATAGTCTAGTCTATAGTCTAGTCTAAGTCTAGTCTATAGCTAGTCTATAGTCTAGTCTATAGTCTAGTCTATAGTCTAGTCTTATAGTCTAGTCTATAGTCTAGTCTATAGTCTAGTCTATAGTCTAGTCTATAGTCTAGTCTATAGTCTAGTCTATAGTCTAGTCTATAGTCTAGTCTATAGTCTAGTCTATAGTCTAGTCTATAGTCTAGTCTATAGTCTAGTCTATAGTCTAGTCTATAGTCTAGTCTATAGTCTAGTCTATAGTCTAGTCTATAGTCTAGTCTATAGTCTAGTCTATAGTCTAGTCTATAGTCTAGTCTATAGTCTAGTCTATAGTCTAGTCTATAGTCTAGTCTATAGTCTAGTCTATAGTCTAGTCTATAGTCTAGTCTATAGTCTAGTCTATAGTCTAGTCTATAGTCTAGTCTATAGTCTAGTCTATAGTCTAGTCTATAGTCTAGTCTATAGTCTAGTCTATAGTCTAGTCTATAGTCTAGTCTATAGTCTAGTCTATAGTCTAGTCTATAGTCTAGTCTATAGTCTAGTCTATAGTCTAGTCTATAGTCTAGTCTATAGTCTAGTCTATAGTCTAGTCTATAGTCTAGTCTATAGTCTAGTCTATAGTCTAGTCTATAGTCGATACTATAGTCAAGCCTATGGTTTGAATAGTGATGATTGACTTAGATCGAAAATTGAACAGTATTTACTGACGCATCCATGGTGGACTCAGGGATTGTTCCCTATATCTAAAGATAGATTCCAACGATCTGGAAAAACACGTGATCATATCGATCTGCGTTATGAAGAAGATTGAAGTCAATAATCATGAAGACATTCTGTAGCGATTTAAGTCTTCTAGCTACAACTAGATGATTTATTTTTCATAAAAATCGGATATTGAGGCGCCTGTTCTTGACAGTTCATCAGCAATACAGATTGCAAAATTTTAATAATTTATTATTTTTTACTGAAATTTGTTATCGGGTTAGAAATTTACAAAGTTTTCTGCGAAAGTGCACAAAAATGCTGTTTAAGGGCAAAATTTTTGCAAGATTTAAAAAAGAAGTATATGCGGGATTGATATATCAGGATTTTTTATTTTTAAACTGAACAGATCCCACTATTAGATACAATAAGTCTACCTTGAAAGATCTCTTAATTCTATCCCTGAAAAGTTTAAAGGTAAAATATTTATAAATTTGAATGTGTTTTTGGTTGTGGTTTAACTAATATGGTGTTTTTGTGTTAAAACCCTCTAACATTCTATGTATAACTGTTAAAATTCTCTAGATTACAACTAAATTAATAACATTTTCTACTTTTTTTCAATGCAATGCAGATGTTCAAAGGCAACTCCGATGGCAATTCCATACACTACAATGTTTTCGAAGTACCAATTATAGCACAATGGATACGTATTAATCCCACACGTTGGCACGATAGAATATCTATGCGTGTTGAACTATATGGTTGTGAATATGGTAAATTTCAATTCGAATTTTATAAAACTTCTCAAATATTAATGATTTATTTTACAGTTGCTGAAAATCTTTATTTTAATGGCACCGGTCTGGTGCGTTACAACTTGTTGCAAGAGCCCATTGCCTCTACACGGGAATCTATACGTTTCCGTTTTAAAACAGCTCATGCCAATGGCATACTTATGTATTCAAGAGGTACCCAGGGTGATTATTTCGCTCTGCAATTAATGGAGAATAAAATGGTTTTGAACTTGGATTTGGGTGGTGGTATTATGACTTCCCTCTCCGTAGGCAGTTTATTAGATGATAATGTTTGGCATGATGTTGTTATATCACGTAATCGTCGCGATATTATCTTCTCAGTAGATCGTGTTATAGTACGTGGTCGTATTAAGGGAGAATTTAGTCGTTTAAATCTTAATCGTGAACTATTGCTGGGCGGGGTGCCCAATGTTCAGGAGGGAATATTTGTAACGCAAAACTTTACCGGTTGTATGGAGAATATATTCTTTAATTCCACCAATTTTATAAGAGATATGAAGGATAACTATGAAAGGGGCGATACCTACCGTTATAATAAAGTCAATACTGTATATGCCTGTCCCTCACCTCCCATTTATCCTGTTACATTCACCACACGTGGTTCTTTTGTACGTCTCAAGGGTTATGAAGCTCAAAAGTCTCTCAATGTTTCTTTCTATTTCCGTACCTATGAAGAAAAAGGCATGATGTTGCATCATGAATTTGCTTCAGGTGGTTATGTAAGGGTATTCCTGGATTATGGTAAAGTTAAAGTGGATTTGAAATTATCCGATAAACCTCGTATCATTTTGGATAACTATGATGATCAATTTAACGATGGTAAATGGCATTCATTTGTCTTGACCATACAACGTAATCGTTTGGTTATCGATATTGATCAACGTCCCATGGCTACCACTAAAAATATACAAATTTCAACGGGACGCTTGTATTACATAGCTGGAGGTATTGAGAAGAGTAATGGTTTTGTGGGTTGTATGCGTTTGATATTGGTTGATGGCAATTATAAATTACCCAAGGATTGGGTCCAAGGTGAAGAAGTTTGCTGTGGCGATGAAGTTGTTGTTGATGCCTGTCAAATGATTGATCGCTGTAATCCAAATCCTTGCCAACACAATGGTGTTTGTCATCAGAATTCTATGGAATTCTTTTGTGAATGTAGTCATACTGGCTATGCGGGAGCTGTTTGTCATACTTGTAAGTTTTTTCTGATCGTATTTTTTATAAATAATAAACTATTTTATTTATTTACTTCTTTATTTGTATTTTTAGCCAACAATCCTTTGTCCTGTACCGCCTATAAAAACGCCCAAAGTGTTAAGAACCGTGTTAGCATAAATATTGATGTCGATGGCAGTGGTCCTTTGGCACCGTTCCCAGTTACTTGTGAATATTACAGTAAGTATATGAATATATATGAGCTGACAAGAGCGATAGTTTTTCTAAAATTGGAATTTTATAAAAAAAACTTTATTATTTTAATAACAGCTGATGGACGCGTTATTACCACATTGGGTCATAGTCAAGAACACACCACAACTGTTGATGGTTTCCAAGAACCAGGATCTTTTGAACAAAATATACTCTATGATGCTGACTTGCAGCAAATTGAAGCATTACTTAATCGTTCGCACACCTGTTGGCAAAGATTAAGTTATTCCTGCAGATCTTCAAGACTATTCAATTCACCCTGTAAGTTTTTGTTGTAAACGGTTTATAAAACAATTATTAACAATTAATTATCTAGCTGAACCCGGTAATTTCCGTCCCTTCTCGTGGTGGGTCTCAAGACACAATCAACCTATGGACTATTGGGCGGGTGCTTTACCCGGCTCGCGTAAATGTGAATGCGGTATTTTGGGTAAATGCCAAGATCCCACTAAATGGTGTAATTGTGATTCCAATAGTCTAGACTGGACTGAAGATGGAGGCGATATTAAGGAAAAAGAATATTTACCTGTAAGAGCTGTTAAATTTGGTGATACCGGCACTCCATTGGATGAAAAACAAGGACGTTATACTTTAGGTCCGCTGCGTTGCGAGGGTGATGATTTGTTTAGCAATGAGGTGACATTCCGTATAGCAGATGCTACCATCAATTTACCACCCTTCGATATGGGTCATTCGGGTGATATTTATTTGGAATTTAAGACAACCGTAGAAAATGCTGTTCTCTTCCATGCTACCGGACCCACAGATTATATTAAACTGTCTATAAATGGTGGCAATAAATTGCAATTCCAATATCAAGCCGGCAGTGGTCCTTTGGGAGTGAATGTACATACCAGTTATCATTTGAATGACAATAAATGGCATACAGTTAGTGTGGAACGTAATAGGTAAATTGGAGTGATGAAGATCACAAATAAATTAATGTAATAATTTAAATTTGTTTCGATTTACAGAAAAGAGGCCCGTTTAGTGGTGGATGGCTCTATTAAAGCCGAAGTTAGAGAACCTCCAGGTCCTGTTAGAGCTTTACATTTGACTTCTGACTTGGTTATTGGTGCCACTACTGAATATCGTGATGGTTATGTGGGCTGTATACGTGCTTTACTACTCAATGGTAAAATGGTTGATTTGAAAGAACATGCTCAACGTGGACTCTATGGCATTTCTTCCGGCTGTGTTGGACGCTGTGAGTCTAGTCCTTGCTTGAATAATGGCACATGTATTGAGGGTTATGACAGTTATTCCTGTGATTGTCGTTGGAGTGCTTTCAAGGGACCCATATGTGCTGATGGTAAGTTCTTGGGTAAATATGGAAAAACTAAATATTTATTCCCTTTTGATTACTTCTAGAAATCGGTGTCAATTTACGCAGTAGCTCTATGATACGTTATGAATTTGAGGGTTCTTTCCGTTCTTCTATAGCGGAAAATATACGCGTTGGTTTTACTACTACCATACCTAAAGGTTTTCTCTTGGGTTTCTTCTCCAATTTGACCGGAGAATATTTGACCATACAAATTTCTAATTCTGGTAAAGTTCAAACTATGCATAAAGATAAACAATGTTTTCAACAATTTTTCTTATTACAGGTTTCTTACGTTGTGTTTTCGATTTCGGTTTCGAACGTCAAGAGATTATATTTCCCAAAAAACATTTTGGTTTAGGACAATATCATGATGTGCGTTTTTCACGTAAAAATGGCGGCTCCACCGTTGTCTTACAGGTGGATAATTATGAGCCTGTGGAGTACCATTTCGATATTAAGGCCTCTGCCGATGCCCAATTTAATAATATTCAATACATGTATATTGGTAAAAATGAATCGATGACTGATGGCTTTGTGGGCTGTGTATCGCGAGTACAGTTCGATGATATCTATCCTTTGAAGTTAATGTTCCAACAGAATCCTCCACCAAATGTTAAATCATTAGGCAGTAAGTTTTGGAAAACTCTTGACTCTGTTTTAAAGTTTTAATTGTTTGTTGATTAATAATATACTATTTTTCTTTACAGCTCAATTGACAGAAGATTTCTGTGGTGTTGAACCGGTTACCCATCCACCTATAGAGGTTGAGACCAGACCGCCTCCACTAATCGATGAAGAGAAATTGCGCAAGGCTTATAATGAAGTCGATTCAGTATTATTGGGATGTAAGTAGAAATTTTTGTTATTTTAGAACAAGTTTTCATTTAGTAAAAGTTCAAAAAGCTTTTTTTCAGTAAAGAAAAACTTAAAAAACACAAAGCTTTTTAGTGAGTTTTTATTACAAAAGCTTTTACTTGATTTTTTAAAATAAGTTTTTATAAAAAAATCTATTTTACCAAAATGTTTAATAATAAAAGCTTTTGGCTAAAACAATACATTGTAAATACTATTTCTAATAAAAAAGCTTTTATAGATTTAAAAAACTTTTACAAGATTTTTTTTTAAATAACAGCAAGATTTTATAATTTTTTACTTGAAAAAGCTTTTTCAAGTTTATTTTTTTAATAGATAAACTTTTAGCACAATTTTTATCTTATGAAGCTTTTACAATATTTTAATTTAATTTAATTATTTTCAAAAAACTTTTACGAAACTTTTAACAAAATGTTTTTAAATTCTTTTTTGGAAAAAAGCTTAAACATGCTTTTATAACATTTATAACATAAAGCTTTTCCAATATTTTTTTTTATCAAAAATGAAAAATTATTTCACAAAAAAAGCTTTTACTAGACTTTTCAAGTTTATTTTCTACCAGCAAAATGTTTCTCTTAAAAAGCTTTTACAATATTTTAGTTAAATTTATTTATTAAAAAAAATGTTAATAGAAAAGTTTTTAACATTTTTTTGTTAAAAGCTTTTATAAAACTTTTTAACCAAAAAGCTACATATTTAAAACAAAGAAACTGTTTAATCTAAATAGATTAATAAAGCTTTTTAATTAAAAAGCCCTATTCCTAATTAAAAGTTTTTAATTTAAAAGAGTAAGAAAGCGTTTAATGTAAAAGAGCCTTCTGCACTTAAAAGCTTTAAAAACGCTTAACGTTAGGAAACTTTTTTTACCAAGAAAGTTTTATAAAAAAACTTTTGCACTCTAGAAAGCCTTTATATTAATGTGGACTCATTTTTTTATTTAAAATCCTTCTTGATAAAACTTTTACTAAAAAAGCTTTTGTTGTCCAAGATACGTTTTTTGGGGAGTTTTTAAGTTGAAAAGCTTCAACAAAACTTTGTAGGACCAAAATAACGTTTTAATGAAAAACTAAAAAGCTTCAACAAAACTTATAGGAATAAAACAACGTTTTAACGCAAAAGCTTTCTTCACAAGAAAGCTTTTTAACTAAAATAAACTTTAATAATTTTTTTTAATTATAAAATAATTTCTTTAATAAGAATAATTTTAACCTAGAAACTTTTAATCTAAAAAAGCTTTCGACACTTAAAAGCTTTAAAAACTGCTTTAAGTTAAAAAATTCAAAAAAAGTTTTTTTACCTAAATGCTTAATAAAAAAGTTATTATATAGGAATAAAATAACGTTTTAACGCAAAAGCTTTCTTTACTAGTAAGCTTTTTAACTAAAAAAAACTTTAATATATATTTTTTAATTATAAAATAATATTTTTTAATAAGAATAATTTTAACCTAGAAAGCTTTCAATCTAAAAAAGCTCTCAACAATTGAAAGCTTAAAAAAACGCTTTAAGTTAAAAAATTAAAAAAAGCTTTTTTACCTAAAAGCTTAATTAAAAAGTTATACTGTAATACCTTAACAAAAAAGCTTTCTATTTTAAAAAAGCTTTTATATTATTATGACTAATATTTTACTAGCAATAATTTTAACATAAAAAAAGTTTTATAATTAAAAAAGATTCTTAAAAATTTTTTAACCTAAAAAACTTAAAAGAGACCCCATCACTAAAAAGCTTTTATATTGTTATGCTTTTAAACCGAAAAGCTTTTTAATTAAAAAGTGTTCTCTTTTGTTAAAAGCTTTTTACAAAAAAAAAAAAAAAAACATTACAAAAGCTTTTCAATTAAAAAATTAACGCTAAAAATCTTTTTAACCCAAAAAGCTTTTTAACCTAAAAAACTTAATGATTCAATCAAACTTTTTAAGAAAAGAAACTTTAACACATTTCAAAATTTCTCTTTACAGGTCTTCTAGTCATTCTCTTCCTTCTCTTGTGCTTAATGATCTTCCTAATTGGTCGCTATTTGCACCGACACAAAGGTGATTATCTAACACATGAAGATCAAGGCGCCGATGGAGCTGATGATCCCGATGAGGCGGTAGTACATTCAACTACCGGACATCAAGTAACCAAACGAAAAGAATGGTTCATATAGTTCGGAATGTCACCAGTAGGCGAGTGGTCAACAAAATAATAATAAAAACCTAAATGTCAAAGATGTAAAGAAGCAATGAAAAAGAGAACAAACAACAGCAACCATTTGAAAGATAAAAAACGAACACGAAATAAGACGATTTATATAAAAGAACAGAAAGACTTTTTTTCAACAACAACAACAACTAAATTAAAAGCAAAATAAATACCTACAAAAAACCTAAAAAAACAAAATGAAAATTAAAAAAAAAGCTGGCCTTAAAACTTTAAAACAAAAAACTTTAACACAAAAATAGTGCTGAAATGCGTTTTTTGCATTAAACCATAAGTTACTGCCAATTTATTTTGCGCATAATTTTTTAAACACAAAAAATAAAGAAAGAAACAAAATGGTTTAAAGAATTCTGTTTACAATTGCTGAAATTTTCAAAAAAAATTAGTTTATTTTTATTTTGCCTTAAGTTCTTTTTTCTAAGTTATGGCTTTATTTTGTTTATTATTAGTTTGTTTTTATTAAAATTTTGTCACAACCTTCTGTTTATTACTTATTTATGTTTACTTACATGTATGATTTTCTTTATGCCGTCCATTATTTTGTACTTTTTTTTCTTTAAGCTGCTATTATTATTATATTATAATTTTTGCTTTTAAGTTTTATGCAATACAAATTATATTAGTTTTTTTTATTTACAAACAAACAAAGAATACATTTACATTTAAGTTATATTTTAACAAATCAACAAAAAAAGTCTTAACGAATCTTAACGAATATCTTTATAATAATATATAATTATTAATTTACAATTACTATTTGTAAACACGTTTCTTTTTCCTTTTTTCGTTCAGTAATTTTGTTAAGAAAACATTTAAAACTCTTTCTCTCTCTGTCTATTTTGCATTTAATTAAACTTGTTTTAATTTCATTTGTTTGTTGAAAAAAAAAAACTAAAACCTAAAGTAAAGGAAACGTGTTACTACATTCCATTATAATCTAAACATTTAAACAACATTATTCAAAACTGTAATTGTGTTACAACAATAATTTTAATTGTCTACTTTTTTTGTATTTTTTCTAAATGTAGCCATTAGTTTGTTAATTATAATAAAAATAAAATATAATAATAAATTTTAAAATTTTACAAAATAAATTTAAAGAAAACAAAAAAACAAATATTAAATAAAAATTATGATTTTTTTTTTTTCATTTCAAAAAGTTTAAATTTTGATCGAAATCTCAATAGAATTTAAAAGTATTCAAGTGCAGATTTCTATTACATTCAATTTATCGCCGTTTATTTTCTTCAAACTCTGGAAAAAAAGAACTTGCTGATTGGAAAGATATTTTATTGTCAATTAAAAAGTCATTTCTTCCTGTTTTCAAATTAAAACCTTAAAATATTTTAGTTCCCTGCTCGTTATCTTTGAGATTTGTATTTAAAGCTTTTACAATCCTTCATTCAGATTTTTAAAAAAAAAAAACTTCATAATATTGAAAAAATACAAAATTTTTAATGAAAAAGATTTTTTAAGATTTTTTAATAAAAAAAAGCTTTTTAAAGATTTTTTAATAAAAAAGCTTTTTTAAGATTTTTTAATAAAAAAAGCCTTTTTAAGATTTTTTAATAAAAAAACTTTTAAGTATTTTAAAAATTTTTAATAAATTTTTTTTGAGATTTTTTAATAAAAGGTTTTTTTCAGATTTTTTTTTTTTTTAAAAACTTTTTTTAAAATTTCTAATAAAAAGTTTTTTAAGATTTCTAATAAAAAGCTTTTTTAAGATTTTTTTTATAAAAGTATTTTTAAAATTTCTAATAAAAAGCTTTTTTAAGGTTTTTAATGAAAAGCTTTTTAAAGATTTTTAATAAAAAAATCTTTAATAAAAAGCTTTTTACAGATTTTTAATAAAAAAACTTTTTTAAGATTTTTAATAAAAGTAATTTTTTTTAGATTTTTTAATAAAAAGCTTTTTTAAGATTTTTTTATAAAAAAGCTTTTTTAATATAAATATTTTTTTGGATTTTTAATAAAAACGATGTTTAATAAAAAAGCTTTTCTAAGATTTCTAATAAAAAGCTTTTTTAAGATTTGTAATAAAAAGCTTTTTTAAGATTTGTAATAAAAAGCTTTTTTTAAATGTTTAATAAGAAAACTTTTTTAAGATTCTGCAATAAAAAGCTTCTTGCATAAAAAAGCTTTTTTAAGATTTTTCAATAAAAAAAACTTTTTTAAGATTTTTCAATAAAAAAAACTTTTTTAAGATTTTTCAATAAAAAGCTTTTTTAAGGCATTTTTTAAAATCTTTTTTAAGACTTTTTAGTAAAAAAGCTTTTTTTAGTAAAAACAAAACATAAAAGCTTTTATAAAATTGTTTATTAAAATGGTTTCCAGAAGTCTTTTAATAAAACTTTTAAAAGATTTGTTTAAAAAAGCTGTTAAACTTAAAAACAAGATTTCTTTAGCTTTAAAATTTGTTTATGATAAAAACCTTTTGCCATGTTTTAATAATAAATTTTTTTTAATTTTTACAAGGATTTTTAAACTAAAAAGCTTTTTTCAATTATAAAGCTTTTACAAGATTTAATAATCAAAAAAGCTATTAACATAAAAATGCTTTTGCAGAACTTTTAAAAGATTTTTATTAAAAAAAGTCTTTTAAATTTCTTTAATAAAGCTTTTAAACTAATTTTAATAAAAATAAGCATTTTACAAAGACTCATTGAATAAAAACACTTTTACAAAGATTTTTAATAATAAAAAGATAATAAAAAGCTTTTAGCAGATTTTTTGCCATAAAAAGCTTTAAAAAGATTTTTCAATAAAAAGCTTGTTACATACAACAACTTTTAGTAAAAAAAACTTTTACAAATCTTAAAAACAATTTTTAGCTAAAAACCTTTTAAAGTATTTTTGAATAAAAAAAGCTTAAAATTTTTATTAAAAAACTTTCGAAAAGATTTTATTGATTTAAAAGTTTTTTATATACCAAATTTTTTTGTGATTAAAATGTTTTACAAGATTATTAAAAAAAACATTTATAAGATTTTTGAATAGAAAAGCTTAAATAAGCTTTTAAAATTTGTTCTATTCAAAAAGCTCACAAAATGATTTAATTGTTGTAAAAAATTTTATAATATCCCAACTGTTCGGTCAGACAGTCTCGAACTACCTATTTAACCTACCACTTAGTGTTACCCCCAGCCACCTAGCCCAAATAACTATTTTTAGCATGAGCTTGCCCTACGAGGAAGTCAATCTTCAGCCCATAGATTACGAAAAGACAAAAAGCTCAAGTTTATATTTTAAGTGCCCACTCTCTCGCTCACAAAGTGACACTGAAGTGACAATTAAAATTTTTTGATAAAAAAAGCTTTTATTTCCTAAAAAATATTTTAAACAAAAAATTTATTTGTTCTGAAAATATGGCTAATTTTCATGGAACTGGTACGTTTGTTTCAATTGCCACCTTTTTTTCGTAGGATACTTTAAAATACTTACTACAAAACTCTTCCGCTATTTTCGAAAATATTTTTCAATATTCTTATTGTCAAAATTATTTTCTTGAATAAATAACAGTATGTATTTAATATATTTTTCTTTAGAATAGTTTTAAGTATTTTTAAAAATATAATGTTAATAAATAAAAAATATATGCAAAAAATATAAAAAACAAATAAAGAGAACAATAAATTTTAATACGAAATAAAAAGTTTGAAGATTTATTACAAAATTATAAAAGAGAGGGTAAAGCTATTTAAATGATAAAAAAATCAAAATATTAGTTATACTTTGTTTTCAATCAATTTTTGTGTTAAATTTAATTCAAAACTTTTGAATATTATTAAATTAATCCAATACTAACACTCTCAACACTCAAAAAGTGTTAAGCATCATTTCCCCATAGTTAAGTTTAAAATCTGGAAACTTGACGTTGATTTTCCTTTGAATTTGTAGTTCCCCTAATTTAATGAAACTCATATATATATATTTTTGACAATTTAAATATTAAATAAAACCCATTTTTTATAAAAAGTTATTAAAATAGACAAGTTTTCTTTAATTTACTTCAAATTTATTTAATTTTATTCAATTATTACTGTGATAACAAATTCAAATGTCAAAGAAACGTTATAATGTCATTTTCCAACATTTCTTAACAATCTGGCTACACTCTCTCTCTGTTTCATTTTATCTATTCCCTTTTAGTTTTTATTACCGCTTATTTAGTAAAAGTCGCAAAAGTTCAGTACGCCGGTTGCAATTGTTAAAATTGAATAAACGAAGTGTTTAAATTTCTTTAAAAAGTGATAAATTATGAGTTAATAGTATAAAAACAACAAATAATATGTTATTTAAACAAATTTATTAAAAATAAAGTGTAAAATAGTGTTTGAAATAAATGTGGTGGCCACAGTAGCACCCAGCTGCCTTGCAGTCGGCTTTTGTTTGTAATCACAAATGAAAGCATCAAAATATGTTAAATTTAAAAGAAATCTATTAAATAATAAATAAATACCAATAAAAATTCATATTTTAAGAAAATTCTTTAAAATAAAAGTAAAAAATAAAAGTGTTTATAATTTGGCATTCGTTTATGCAGTTTTCTTCTTCTTTTTATATCATTTTGATCAGCATTGTTGTGGTTTTGTTATTGTTTTGCATGCATGCATGTTTTTTTGTTAAGAGTGTGTGTTTTTGTTTGCAGAGAATATGTGTGAAAGAGTAAAAATGTCATAGAAATGTAAATAAAGAGAAAACAAGTGATTAATTTAATAAAATCTTTAGTTAAAAGTGAAAATTTTATAATTTTTGTTTATTAAAAATAATTAAAAATATATATTAATCAAATAAATAAAATATAAATCTGTCTTGCAAAATAAAAGTGAATAAAATCATATTAAAAGTGAAATACATATTGTGAAACATTTAGATTTCAATTAAATTCGATAAAATGAAATTGCCCTGGATTATTTGAACTCATCTGTGGATTAATAAGGTAAATTATATTTAAAACATAAAATGCTAATTGAATTTAGAATATTTATGGTAAATATAAGATAAAAAATTTAAAAGAAATCTATACCCAGAGTCCAAAGTGTAGGTTTCTAATGGAATGAACTGGTGTAAAGCCAAATCTGAAGATGCATCAGGTTTTACTAGATATAGTGTCCTAAAAATTGAAAACCCCCCGTTTTTATCATGCGCAAAGACACATAATGTATGTATGTACTACATATAAAATTCTAACAGTAATGACTGACTGACTGATTCATCATATCACAGTCAAAACGGTTAAAACTAGAAAGTTGAAATTTGGACTGATCGTTGGTCTCTAACAAATAGATCCACTAAGATTTGAATATTTTTGGGGATAAAAAAGATAGGTTAGGTTATAGTGGTAGCCGCCTATATGATAGCACACTCGGCTCCAGTTATACATATATACATATGTCTCGTTGTGATACCATTTGTGATCACACCAATGTATCACTAATTCTATTGGTCAACTTGTGCTTCCAAGTCAATTCATTGTTCTGGTAAATGCGTGGATGTTATCCAAATATAGACCTAATAGACCGATAGGTATTTTCGTCTAGCGTTTTTCTGTCTTATTTCATCGAATACAGGCTGAAGAAGATGTTGTGCAGTTTCCTCTCATTCTTTATAGTTGCAACTTCTACAGAGAACGGAAAAGTTTTAATCTTCTTCCCAGTGACAGGTTTTCCTTTCCATTATCTATCATATCTTTTTGATCTTTGTACAGGTAAGAATGGATAAATTCGGTAACCTCATATCTCCTAAACTAAAAACTTACAACAAATCTTTAAAACATTTCTGGTACTTTTTTAAATTCGACGCTTTTTTAAGATTTTGCAATAAAAAGCTTCTTTAATAAAAAAGCTTTTTTAAGATTTTTCTATAAAAAAGTTTTTTTTTAAGATTTTTTTATAAAAGAGCTTTTTAAGACTTTTTAATAAAAAAGCTTTTTTGAGATTTTTGGAAAAAACGCTTTTTTA